CGTGGCTTCAGGACCCGGTGAATGAACCGAACCTTTCCTTTTATTCCAGCGATCCCGGCTCTTCCAGCTAGTTACTGCTAGGCCATTATCGAACATCTGAAGAAACTGAATGATATTCTTTAGCACATTGTGAAAAACTGGAAACAATCCAAATTGCTGGCAACACAGAGCTGGCAGGGTAAGTTATGGTACACCCATGCAGAACGGCACTGTGCGGCGATTAAAAATGTTACAGATCTGTGTGGTTACTGACAGGAAACGGTGTCGTGAGATGCTGTTAAACGTAAAAAAAAAAAAAAAAAACGGGTTATGGGGCAGCATAAATCTTGTAACACCATCCACATAAAACCGTGTTACCGTTAACTGCTTGTATTTATGGACAGAAAAGTGTTTGCAAGGATGTTCCCCAAAGTGTGTTCACGGCGGTTCCCTCTAGACGGTAGTGGTGAGCCCTAAGTATCTGCTTTACTCTCTTCCTCCTCCTTTTCTAGAACACTAGCGTTTGCCCACAATGAGCATGTGTATTATTACGTGGTTTTTTTTTTTTTCCACTAAAGCAACAACGCTATTAAAAGGAAATAGGTGAATGAGTTAGTCCTCCCGCCCTTGGCGAGTCTTGAGAAATCAGCCATGTGAGCCAATCCATGGGTTGCAAAGACCAGCCTTTCCCCACACACACCCGCCAAGAAGCTCGTATCTGAGCCTTCCTCCTTGTGCCCTGTCCTGCCTGCTGACCCAGGGGCAACCCTGGTCCTGAAGTGCCCCATTCAGGGTACCTGGGGTGCCTAAAGCCTTCCCATTTTGGAAGAGCCACCATATTTCCCCCAGGCGAAGCTAAAGGGGGCTCCCTCTCTCATGACCACGGTGAGGGTGGAAGTGGGCAGGAGTGCCCTGCACCGGGAGCACCGGGAGGAGGCCATCAGTCAACGGACACGGAGTGAGTACTTTCTGTGTGCCAGGCCCCGTGCCCGCCCTGGAGATCCATGGAGTTCAAGACAGACACAGGCCTGCCCCCACCACCACATGCAGGACTCCTGGTCTAGCGGATGGAGGGCTCCAGGAAGGGCCTGGAAATCCAAATAACTCTTCGTGGTTCCTCCAAGGCTCTGCTCTCCTGACTCATGGTCCAACGATGCTCCTACAGACCAAGGCATGGGGTCTCCTCTCAAAGGGCCCAGAAGATTCCGCTCCTTAGCATAACCTCAAGACCTCCACAGCGCCCCCCCGACAGCCCCAGCCTCAGCTACCACCCGCCTCGCCACACGCCCCACACCTCATCACACCCATCTCTCTTCTCTGTCCTTGCACGCTCCATGCTTTTGCACTTTCTGTTTACTAGGAGTGGGGCACCTCCTCTCCCACTTTCTCTTCTTGATGGAATTCTACCCATTCTTCAAGGCTAAACTCAAGGATCACTTGCAAAAGTCTCTATCATCCCACGTGCAAGCTTCACAGTGAAATGCCAGGACCCTGGCCCCCCTCAGTCAAGACTGCCTGGTTCGAGTCTGCCTGGTTCACGGCTATGTCCACGGCGCCCTGCCCGGGACTGGGCACGGTATTACTACTGATTGAATGCATCAATTTGGTTGCCGAACCACCAAATGATTTCTGCTGCCGACTGCCCTCTGAACCCCAAAGGCAGGGTCTGACCCATCCGTGTAGAACCTTCTGCCTGGTGGTTGCCATGCTCTGTTCATAAATCCTGTACGTCAGTGCCAAAAGGGTGTTATTTTTGCTTGCTCCCCGATTTTTTTATTTCAGGATTTTTAACATCTGAAATCTCAAGCCAATTGTAAAAAAAAAAAATGTATGAGACAACTGGGGGACTCTGAATGCCGGGTATTTTATGATGGTGAGAAACGATCAATTCCTAGGGTGCGATAATAGAACCACGGCTGGGTGTCTTACAGGGCCCTTCTCCTTCCGAGAGGTATAGTGAAGGGATTACAGGTGAAATGAGATAATGTCTTAGACTGGCTTCGACAGACTCCAGCTGGGGGCAGGGGGTGGTGGGTAAGGGTAGAGGTGAAGGAAGATTGGCCGTGAGCTGGTCACTGTTGAGGCCAGTCGTGGGAGTCCATCATACTTACGTCTCGATTTGTGTACGTGTTTTAAAAAGGAGACAAGCGGGGCGCCTGGGTGGCTCAGTCGGTTAAGCGTCCGACTTCAGCTCAGGTCACGATCTCGCGGTTCGTGAGTTCGAGCCCCGCGTCGGGCCCTGGGCTGATGGCTTGGAGCCTGCTTCCGATTCTGTGTCTCCCTCTCTCAGCCCCTCCCCCGTTCATACTCTGTCTCTCTCTGTCCCAAAAATAAATAAATGTTAAAAAAAAATTTTTTTTTAAATAAATAAAAAGGAGACAAGCACAATGTAAAA